CACTGACAACTAACTACAGACACAGAACAACACCGACTATCTCTCACTGACAAATAACAGACACAAAGCTCCCAAACATTTAATACCGACCTCGTCACATCAGAAACCTTTAAACCAAATCTCACTTAAAAAGGTTTCAAACCACGTTCAGATTCAGATTTCTTCTCATCTTAAACTACAGCAGTTTAATGCAACTGTGATGTCACCGTGATGTCACCGTGATGTCACTTCAGTGCTGCTCAGATTAGAAATGAACTCAATCACCCCCCCACTCCCATGAAAGTCTGAGTGAGAGAAAGTGATGAGATCATTCGGCCATTTATCAACGGATGAAACACACACACACACACACACACACACACACACACACACACTCACATACACACACATACACTCTCTCTCTTACCATCCGAAGCCTCCGAACGACACGCTCCTCTTCCTCCTCAGCATGGTCTCTCCTCCTTTGTCTTCCTTCTCTTCTTATTGTGTCTGGATTTTCCTCTCTCTCTCTCCTCCCTCCCTCCTTCCCTCGTTACCTTCACTGTCTCCTCATCCCTCCACCTATAAATACTCTCATCTCCGTCAGACGCCTCCTTCACACCACCTCTCTCTCTCTCTCTTTCTCTCTCTCTCTCTCTCTCTCTCTTCATCCTCCCTCCTGCCGTTAATGTTTCTCTTTCCCACTTCAATTCACTGCACAGAGCCAGGAGAGAGAGAGAGAGAGAGAGAGAGAGAGATAGACAGACTCTCTCTCTCTCTCTCCAGCCTGATGAAGCAGTAAAGCTCATCATACATAATAAATAGATGTAAATGGAGGTAAAGTCGGTGCAGTTTGAAGCTGCAACATTTATGTTTGTGTGACACGTTATTCATTTATATTCTATTTATTTCTACATTTAACGTCTGCACTATTTTGATGTTTTATGTTCTAAATGTCTTTTCTTGAGTTTTTCTTTTTATACATTTTGCAGTTGCATTGCTGGATGGATGCTGCACCGGATCAGTATAAAAACGTTAGCGTAGCTAGCTGACGTTAGCTAGCTATACTAACGTCAACTAGCTACGCTAACGTTAGCTAGTTATGCTAACGTCAGTAAACTTAATATTAATATCAGCTGGAATGATTACATAAAGCATTGGCTTTTTTGTTTTTTAAGGGCTGATTCAGAAATCTATATTATTATATTTCACTATTTCAAAGTAAAAAAGGAAGTTTTTATATGAAATATTAAGAACACTTTACTGTCTGAGTGGAGATTTGGACTCACAACCTCAGTAATTTCTAAACTCGTAGTAAAAATGTAAACTGTTTCAGTTTTGTATTAAAAGGTCTAAAATGAGCTGGAGGCTCCTTCTGTAAACAGGAAGTTAATACATAACTAGTGATGGAAAACACACATATAATATCTACAGAGATTCAAACCAACAACCTCATGTGGAGCTAGAGGCTCATTACAAGGTAAAGAGATCATCCTCTGAGGAGCAGGATTGATATCTCTTGTGTTGTGATATATTTATATATTTACAATGTGCTCAGTTTTAACCAGTTTCTTATTTTTGCTGCCAATTGTTCACAATTGTTGCCTCAGAGTGTAAAAGTTATTCTGTAGTATGCAGTAAGAGTACTAATACCACACTGTAGAAATACTCTGTTACAGTAAGAGTACTAATATCACACTGTAGAAATACTCTGTTACAGTAAGAGTACTAATATCACACTGTAGAAATACTCTGTTACAGTAAGAGTACTAATACCACACTGTAGAAATACTCTGTTACAGTAAGAGTACTAATATCACACTGTAGAAATACTCTGTTACAGTAAAAGTACTATATAGTATGAATATATATATAACCAGTAGAGGAGCCTTTAACAGTCTTTACTGGTTTCACCTCGTTCGTTATGAACACCAGTTAAACAACATGAAGGACAGAACAGATGTCTCGAGCTGTGAGACACCTCAAGTCTGCCAGGAGACACAGACAGGGAGAGGAAGAGAGGGAGAGACAGACAGGGAGAGGAAGAGAGGGAGAAACAGACAGGGAGAGGAAGAGAGGGAGAGACAGACAGGGAGAGGAAGAGAGGGAGAGACAGACAGACAGGG